AATTTGGACTTTTGAAATTAATTTTATAGTTTTTCCTTCATTTTTTGCTTAAAATGTTTCATTGCAAGTTTGTCAGTGTTCTCTTATAATTTGGGTAAAATTATTGACATCTTTTAAAATAAGAACATTTTATTTCTTGTCATTCAAATTTTCTTATACTCTGTTGTTATTTTCTCTAAATTGGTAACATGTTTCTTATTAGAGGCAAACATGGATGTTTGTAAATTAATTGCTATTGTGAATTAGAGTTCTTTTGCATTGCATTTATAGGTGATATTTGGGATGATAGGCTTTGTGCCTTGGAAACTTTTCTGGGAAAATTTATTTGGTATTTTGGCATCTTTTATAATTCTTCATTATGAAAGAATTTTTAAACTAGTTTTCATAATGTAATATATGTCATAATTTTGTCTTTTGCTGTATTTATATGCTTTATTTTGGCTATTTAAGAACTTTTGCATAACAAAGACTTGTAGAAAAAAGAATTTTATAAAAAATGATATAAATGCTTATTAAGATTTAAAATTTATTTTTAATATTATGTTCTAAAATTGTATATGTTGTGTGTGTATGTTTACGATATGGTTTGGTTGTATCCCCACCCAAATATATTGAATTGTCATTCCCATAATCCCCACATGTCGTGGGAAGGACCTGATGGGAAGTAATTGAATCATGGGAGTTGTTACCTTCATGCTGTTCTTGTGATAGTGAGTGAGTTCTCACAAGATCTGATGGTTTTGTAAGGGGCTTTTCTCCCTTTTGCTCTGCACTTCTCCTTCCTGCCATGATGTGAAGAAGCACATGTTTGCTTCCCCTTCTGCCATGACTGTAAGTTTCCTGTGGCTTCCTGAGCCCTGCAGAACTGTGAGTCAATTAAACCTCTTTTCTTTATAAATTACCCAATCTTGGGTATTTCTTCATAGCAGCATGAGAATAGACTAATACAATTTTTCAGATTATCTAAAGTATAGGACATACATACACTAACCATGTTATTTCCTCACCTCCCCTAAACATCACAATGCATTCCTTGAATTATAATGTATTCCTTGAAATACAAATTAATGCATTCCTTGAATTAGAAAATTTAAAAAGTAATTAATGGGAACAGGACTTGGTATAATGACTATTTTTCACCATTAGTGTTGTATTTTTTTCTATCACAGTGTCAAGACATACACTTGGAAATTGAACAAGTATAACCGTTATTATGGAGCACTTGGCTCCGTCCTTAGAATGAAAGTAGCTTCCAGAAGAAGGTTGGTTTCAGAAAACCTGAAAGAGGTGGAACTAACATGAATATGTTTCTCTGAAACTGAGAAATTTTTAACCTTATTGCACTCAGAATGAAAGCAATAAAACTTAGTAGCAAAATAATAGCCAGATTCACAAGTTTAGACTTTATCTTTTAACCCAAGGCTACTGGAGAAAGGTTAATGCTAATGAAGATAATCTCATAAGCAGAACACTCAGAATAGAAATGGGGAAAATTAGAGAGCAAGCCCAATGAAAACACTGGATTTCCTCATTGAAATCTTAATGTAATTCTATGAACATAGTATGCTAAGTATAGGAATGGATTGAAATAAGAATCAGTAAAGATGCTTGCACAGGAAATATCCCTGGTTGGGAAACACACACAGACACATTGATGCATACAAATTTATCTTGGTAATTCTGCTTGTGCTAGGCTAGAAAAGCATTTCTTTAACATTCAACATGGGCTTATGGAGCCAGATACCAAAAAACTTACAGAGTGAGAGGTTACACAGCCCTGAGATGTAAGATTTGCTAAGGAAAATCCAAATACAGATCTTTTTTCTTAAGTAACAATTTTAATAGTCTATGTTTTGTATTATAACACTTTTTGTATTATAGGATTACAATATTATTTTTTGTATTATAAAATTTTAAGATGTTAAAAAATAGCTATTAACCTGAAAGTGAGGTTGATTATAAAACACATTGCTTCCTCATCACCACTGATATTAAAATAATCAATGGACAGCACTGGCATTCATATTAAATCAAGTTAAACATATGCACAGTCCACCTCCTTTCCTCAGTTCTGCCAGTGTCACTAAGTTGGCTTTTCCAAAGTCTACATAACGTCACAAACTAAGATGAGACATTGGTCAGCCTTTCTTCAAGTACTCAGTGCAAAAATGTTTATTTTACATCTTTAAGTACAACTTTGATTTTGGGAAGACAAACGGAGAATTTGGGGGAGGGTTCTGTGTAAATAAAAATATTTTTAAAACATACTTCATTTTAAGATTTTTAAGGAAAGCTATCCAAAAATTATAGCACAATGATAAGCTGATACATTGTTTTGTCTAAATAAATCCATTCGCCGCAGCACTGATTCTAGGATATCTTCCAAAGCTACAGATCTTTGGTATTTCCCTTGGTGCACGCATGTGCATCTGCTGTGCCAGGGTGCTGTACTGCTTTGACTCAAATGTCCTCCATATCCAGGCATTAAGTCACTATACTGGACATGCACCACTGGAATGCTGTGGCCTACATAACGTGTATGTGGTTTACATTTTCAGTAACTGGGAAGCAATTTAATTGTCTGACTCAATTACAGTAAGTAAGAGCCAGACTGCCAACTCTTCATTCACCTCACTGAAAACGAATGCCTCAAAGTCAAGCCAAATTCTCGAAGGAGAAGCTGGGTCAACAAAGCTGTTGCTGAAGCACGTGTGTTCCAGTCTGTATTTTGAGAAAATTGTTGGTTTTCCTTGATCCTTTATTTCCAACTCTGGATCTCCGAAGCTGGTCAAACTCTAGGATAAACCGTGCAATTGAGTTTGACTCATAGCTGAATGGGGATTCTATTTTGGGCAACTGCTACTTAGATTAAAGCCAAAAGAAATAGTACCCAGTAGGAGGAACCATAATGAAACTGGGTTTTGATTAAGATGGAGAGTGTACATTTTCCAAGCAGCATTGATATGCTAGAATTCCACTGTGGTCTTAATCTCTGGTGCAGAGGAGTAGCTTGGACTCTTGGGACTGGACTCTTGGGACTAGACTATCTCATGTCTTCTATGGTTAACTGCCTGAAGATTAGTTTGCCAAGTGACTCCATCTTTGACATGCCAAAACTGGCTTCTGACAAGAAGGTTGGGGTATGCCTCATCACAGAGCCGACATGTGTCAAGAAACAGCCCAAGTGTCTATGAGAAACAACTCTTCCAACTCTGTTTCTAATGAGCTAAAGGAATCTGTACAAATCTCTTTGGGATTTGCCAAGCAGTAGGCGTTAGATTTTGTCATCCCTTCTTTGGAAACTATGTAAAAGATAATCAGTAGGGGTGGTGATCAAGGCTGCCATTCACTATGATAAGTCCTAGGGAAATTAAGAAAAATTCTAGTAAGAAAAGGAAAGCCATAGTGAGAGATCTATTTTTTTAATCTATCAACTCTGAAAGCAAGTAATTCTTCAATATTTATAGTAACTATGAGAAACTATATAAATTAATAGAAACCATATAAATTAATTAACCATATAAATTAATAAATTAATTTACTGCTGACATAATTAATATGTCAGCAGTAAACCACTGACATATCTTAAAAGTTGTAATGATTATGATAGAAAATTGTTCTTCTTTTGCTCACAAGCTGAATTTATTCAGTTAAAGGAAGACTCAGAGTGGGGCAGAAGAGAAGGCCGGGAGAGAAAACTCTGACCTGAGACCAAAGCTATTTTGTTTTCATTTTTACATGTATTTTGTTTGGCAAAATACAAATAACATAAAATTTATCATCTTAACCTTTTTTAACGTGTGCAGTTGAGTAGTGTTAAGTACATTCACATTGTTATGCAAGCACACTCCAGAACTCTTTATTTTGGAAAACTAAACTTTTTATCCATTAAACAAAAACTCCCTGCTGTTTTGTTTTCAAATATTTTAGAAATTATTATGCTTATGAGTACAGAACAAATAATTTCTATTTTTTAACCCACTAAGATACCAACAGGTACTGTGGAAGGCTTTTTGCTTACTACCTGCTCAATGTATTTGAGGGAGTTGTAAGTCCAACTAGTTCGTTTTTTGTTTCTATTTTATCGGTGTATTTAGGATGATATGGCTATGTTTGAAAGATCAATGGATCAGGAATTATTATTTCAGTCCCATGACAGTATGTTTTTTTTTTTTTTTGAAAAATACAATATAAAGACGATGTAATGACATGAGATAAACTCTTTAACTGATTATGGCATTATACATCACCATTAAGGGATTAAAAGACAGTCTATTTTATAAACATAATGTTAATCAACAGTGTCTGGCTCTTTCAAAGTCTTCACTTGTTTTCCACATAGTACATTTTTAAAATAGTATCTCATAATTTTCTAATAACTAATTCGTTAAGAAATTTTCTTTTGGAAATCTTTTACCTTGAAAGATACTCTTTTAAAAAATGGTTCACATAGTTGTTGGGGCTGGTAAGGATAGGGAAGTGTGGTGGAGGATAGTGGCTCTGGCATAGGATCTAAACAGATTTGGGCCCAGGCTCTGCCACTTTGTAACTGTTGGTTATATCTTTCCTTTTCTACTCACTTTATCTATAAAATAAAAAAAAAAATGAAATAATGCATGTAAAGTTCAGCATAGTGCATGACACGTAAGAAACAGTTAATAGAAGTCACTGATTATTACTACTGTCCTAAAAATAAGAAAAAGGGGTACATACATATATACAGTGTCCTTTATTCCCTTTACCAATGTCCGAGATTGAAGTATTTCTTTAAATTATGATGCAAAGACCTCCAGTATCTTTGCTCTTACACACAGTCTAGAAAATACTTGGCAAGTAAAATGTGGAACCACTTATGGTTCCTAGTTTCCTACTTCCCAGAAGACCCCATTCTCCTCACTGCTGAGGGCTAACATTTTAAATACAAATAGTATCAGCTTCCTCTTACTCTATTTTATTAATTATTTCCCTTCTATTCCCTTCTTCTCTCTTCTCCTGTCTAGAAAGAAGACTGAGATGTGTTGGCGGGCTTCTCAAGATCCCTATCGATGGCAGAAGGCTGACATGAGTTGCCCATAGTACGGGTACACTGAGTAGGACTGCAAAATCAGTGCTAACAGCTGCCAATCATTCTTCATCTTAATGTTAAGATGAACATGTTTTTGGAGGAATATACTTTAAATTCTGGGTGGTAACAACATCTTTTAAAAAGATGATTTGTGTATTTTTAATATTTTGGCAACAAATATGTCACTTCTATAACCAGAAATAATAAACATTTAAAGAAAAGAAACAAATAAATCGATAGCATGATTAAGAGAGTGCTTATCCAGGGAAGGAATCATTTGTTCCCTTTCTGCTGTTTCTACAATTTTTAAGAATCTTGACTACATGGAGATGTAGATGACTTGGACATCTGGGTTATGCATTTTATTGTTCTTGTCATTCCTTGTGACATTTCTGACAACTTCCCTTGGGCATAAAAAATTCTATGAAGTACACTGACAAATGACATACACACACACACGTATATGATTATTCAAATATATATATATATTTATTTATTTATATTTCCTCCCTGGAGTTTCTACAACTTGTAAATTAAATTGAAAATGTACAAATTATTTCCTTTATTTGTCTGCTTTTTGGCCTGAGAGGTTTTCTCACATATTTACTTTTTCCTTCTATTCATATGACATTTGAGAATGTTACATGCTTAGGCTTGTATCTTATCTTCTACAGAAGCCTTTGGTATGTCAGATAAATTTCTCTTGCTCACATGGAGTATATTTCAGTGGCATGACCCATTGATGTATACACTTAAAAAGAGTAAACATAGTGGCACTCAAAGCATTTTCTGAAAACAACATGTTGAAAATGAAATTGATAATATATTTTAAAATTTACTTAGAAGAGCAATATCTCTGGTACATGGACATATTTTTCTGGCGTGGAATTTTTCTAAATTTCTGTATATCTCTTTTAAGAAATTAGAACATTTACAACTTCCTTAGTGAGAAAAAAGGTAATTTCATATACCACTTATTCCATATGCCTCTGTTATGTCAAAATCTCTAACATTTTGTTTTTTTGGTCCAGTCGGCTATGTCAGGAAACACATCAGTTCACGACACAGGAACAATCCTTGAGTCTATTTTCTTGTACTGCTTTTAATTGTTTTTTTTTTTCCCCCTTTGCGAGTCAAGGACATCAGTTTCAATAAGCCTAGTGTATCAGGAAGCATGTGGACCACCTAATCACATAGACTTATAGAAAGTAGCATAATACATTATGGGCCAGGAACTTCAGCTTCCTGGACGACTTCTTCCCCAAAATTCCTTACATGAAACCTGCTCTGCCAGACCAAGGCAAAGTTATTACCCACAAAACTTGGTGGAGTCCCTCTTCTCATGAGGCAATTTTATCTCAAAATCATTTTTTTGTAAAAAAATGAATAGCCTTACTCATAAATATGAGTAACAACTGTCATACTCAATTTCTAAAAATTTTGAAAATAAACAGAATGGAGGAGATTTGCAGTAGGAAAACTTTGATGAGTAGCTCTTGAAATAAGTAGGAAAGAGTCTGCTCTATTTACAGAGACTTTCCAAGTCCACAGAGGCACATATTGAATATATTATGGGCCATTTTCTCCTCCTTTAATACATAAGATGCTACTTTTTTTTCTCAGCTTCTCTGAATTGTTAATGTACTGATTGTTCATACTTTGGCTGCCTCGTGCATAAAAAATAAGCCTCATCATGATTTTTCAGAGAAGGTCTCTTTAATCTTACCTGCATATGGCATGTGTCATTGTATTGATCATTTCTGATGTGAAAAGACAGGACACCACACACTTTCAAACTCTATTTGGTGAATCTCCAGAAGTGAGTGATGAGTTCTTATGAAAATGCAAAATTAGGGGGGCGGAGCAAGATGGCCGAATAGGAACAGCTCCAGTCTCTAACTCCCAGTGCGAGCCACACAGAAGACCGGTGATCTCTGCATTTTCAACTGAGGTACTGGGTTCATCTCACTAGGGTGTGCCGGACAATCGGTACTGGTCAGCTGCTGCAGCCCCACCAGCAAGAGCTGAAGCAGGGCGAGGCATCGCCTCACCTGGGAAGCGCAAGGGGAAAGGGAATCCCTTTTCCTAGCCAGGGGAACTGAGACACACAACACCTGGAAAATCAGGTAACTCCCACCCCAATACTGCGCTTTAAGCAAACAGGTGTGCCTCCCACACCTGGCCGGGAGGGTCCCACGCCCAGGAGCCTTCCTCATTGATAGCACAGCAGTCTGCAATCTCGCCGCAAGGCAGAAGCCAGGCTGGGGGAGGGGCGCCCGCCATTGCTGAGGCTTAAGTAGGTAAACAAAGCCTCTGGGAAGCTCGAACTGGGTGGAGCTCACAGCAGCTCAAGGAAACCTCCCTGTCTCTGTAGACTCCACCTCTGGGGACAGGGCACAGATAACAACAAAAGCAGCAGAAACCTCTGCAGACGCAAACGACTCTGTCTGACAGCTTTGAAGAGAGCAGTGGATCTCCCAACACGGAGGCTGAGATCTGAGAAGGGACAGACTGCCTGCTCAAGTGGGTCCCTGACCCCTGAGTAGCCTAACTGGGAGACATCCCCCACTAGGGGCAGTCTGACACCCCACACCTCACAGGGTGAAGTACACCCCTGATAGGAAGCCTCCAAAGCAAGAATCAGACAGGTACACTCACTGTTCAGCAATATTCTATCTTCTGCAGCCTCTGCTGCTGACACCCAGGCAAACAGGGTCTGGAGTGGACCTCAAGCAATCTCCAACAGACCTACAGCTGAGGGTCCTGACTGTTAGAAGGAAAACTATCAAACAGGAAGGACACCTACACCAAAACCCCATCAGTACATCACCATATCAAAGACCAGAGGCAGATAAAACCACAAAGAGGGGAAAAGCAGGGCAGAAAAGCTGGAAATTCAAAAAATAAGAGCGCATCTCCCCCGGCAAAGGAGCGCAGCTATCGCCAGCAACGGATCAAAGCTTGAGGGAGAATGACTTTGACGAGATGAGAGAAGAAGGCTTCAGTCCATCAAACTTCTCAGAGCTAAAGGAGGAATTACGTACCCAGCGCAAAGAAACTAAAAATCTTGAAAAAAAGGTGGAAGAATTGATGGCTAGAGTAATTAGTGCAGAGAAGGTCATAAATGAAATGAAAGAGATGAAAACCATGACACGAGAAATACGTGACAAATGCACAAGCTTCAGTAACCAACTAGATCAACTGGAAGAAAGAGTATCAGCGATTGAGGATCAAATGAATGAAATGAAGCGAGAAGAGAAACCAAAAAAAAAAGAAGAAACAGAAATGAACAAAGCCTGCAAGAAGTATGGGATTATGTAAAAAGACCAAATCTACGTCTGATTGGGGTGCCTGAAAGTAAGGGAGAAAATGGAACCAAGTTGGAAAACACTCTTCAGGATATCATCCAGGAGAACTTCCCCAACCTAGTAGGGTAGGCCAACATTAAATCCAGGAAATACAGAGAACACCACAAAGATACTCCTCGAGAAGAGCAACTCCAAGACACATAATTGCCAGATTCACCAAAGTTGAAATGAAGGAAAAAATCTTAAGGGCAGCCAGAGAGAAAGGTCGGGTTACCCACAAAGGGAAGCCCATCAGACTAACAGCAGATCTCTCGGCAGAAACTCTCCAAGCCAGAAGAGAGTGCGGGCCAATATTCAACATTCTTAAAGAAAAGAATTTTAAACCCAGAATTTCATATCCAGCCAAACTAAGTTTCATAAGTGAAGGAGAAATACAATCCTTTACAGATAAGCAAATGCTTAGAGATTCTGTAACCACTAGGCCTGCCTTACAAGAGACCCTGAAGGAAGCACTCAACATGGAAAGGAACAACCAGTACCAGCCATTGCAAAAACATGTCGAAATGTAAAGACCATCGAGGCTAGGAAGAAACTGCATCAACTAACGAGCAAAATAACCAGTTAATATCATAATGGCAGGATCAAGTTCACACATAACAATATTAACATTAAATGTAAATGGACTAAATGCTCCAATTAAAAGACATAGACTGGCAAACTGGATAAAGTGTCAAGACCCATCAGTCTGCTGTATTCAGGAGACCCATCTCACATGCAGAGACATACATAGGATCAAAATAAAGGTATGGAGGAAGACTTACCAAGCAAATGGAGAACAAAAGAAAGCAAGGGTTGCAATCCTAGTCTCTGATAAAAGAGACTTTAAACCATCAAAGATCAAAAGAGACAAAGAAGGCCATTACATAATGGTAAAGGGATCAATTCAACAGGAAGAACTAACTATCCTAAATATATATGCACCCAATACAGGAGCACCCAGATTCATAAAGCAAGTCCTTAGAGACTTACAAAGAGACTTAGACTCCCATACAATAATAATGGGAGACTTCAACACTCCACTGTCAACATTAGACAGATCAACGAGACAGAAAGTTAACAAGGATATCCAGGAATTGAACTCATCTCTGCAGCAAGCAGACCTAATAGATATCTATAGAACTCTCCACCACAAATCAACAGAATATACATTCTTCTCAGCACCACATTGCACTTATTCCAAAATTGACCACATAATTGGAAGTAAAGCACTCCTCAGCAAATGTACAAGAACAGAAATTATAACAAACTGTCTCTCAGACCACAGTGCAATCAAACTAGAACTCAGGACTAAGAAACTCAATCAAAACCGCTCAACTACATGGAAACTGAACAACCTGCTCCTGAATGACTACTGGGTACATAACGAAATGAAGGCAGAAATAAAGATGTTCTTTGAAACCAATGAGAACAAAGATACAACATACCAGAATCTCTGGGACACATTTAAAGCAGTGTGTAGGGGGAAATTTATAGCACTAAATGCCCACAAGAGAAAGCAGGAAAGATCTAAAATTGACACTCTAACATCGCAATTAAAGAACTAGAGAAGCAAGAGGAAACACATTCGAAAGCTAGCAGAAGGCAAGAAAAACTAAGATCAGAGCAGAACTGAAGGAGATAGAGACACAAAAAACCCTCCAAAAAATCA